TAAATATCTCGAAATTTTACTAAGCAAAGTGGGTATAGTTCATAAGCTAAAATTAATCTGTGTGAATAATTACATATAAAAACATTTATTAACTCAAAATCGAGATTTTGCTGTTAGGTCCCTTTCTATTTTCTGCGTCCCATATATTCTTTCAAATTCGAAATTAATTACCCGCCCCTTCGATAATGCTTCGCAGAGTACACAATGCTCTAGATCTCAGGAAATATGACTGCCACAAATGAGAGAGGAAAGTTTAACACACAATAATATCAAAATTACCTCATATGTAACATCGTCTATCCTGCCAATATATCAAGAGTGATGGAATGATCTGTGGGAAAGGATGCTGGCATAGCACAGGATGCTCTAGACATTTCAGATCACGTCCCAAAAAATTGTGCTCTATTTGTAACAAGCTAACCAATTCTCATACCGGAATATGTAGGATTCATGATGGAATTTACAAGCATGTCTGGCATGAAAGCAAAAAACTGAGACTTATCTTGATGCAGAGTGCCTCATCCATGGATGGAAAAGTAATAAACCTAAACTATAGTTCGTGCCCAGAACCTGGCAAGTCCGGTACACAATTCTCAAGCATATCAATATTTGCACATAATTCAGCCTGTTTTTGCTTATGATAATACTCTCTTTTTTGATACTCACATGATTTTTACACATGCTATATGTAGAATAAGTCAGCTTACCACATTCTTTGCAAGGGATCCATGTCGGAGAATTCCAATGAAGTTTACACCCTTCTGGACGATAGCTACCTCGATCACAAACTTTACCAGTTCTATGAATATAAGGACAATGATAAAACCCTATATTTATTTTAATAATAATTGTTGATTTTTTATATATAATTTTCAGGAATAATTAATTTTATTATATAGTGAAATCCCACAACAATCCCAACACATGTAAAAAAATATCATTATGTACTTAATGTAATTTGCCCTGTGGAGTATATATTTTTATTTATTAATAAAGCAATGACATCATGTGTAAATATTAGAACTGCACATGAAGAGAATACATGCAAAAATTTATATTGTGACAACATTCCCAACTAATTGTTTTACAGCTGGAATTATAAAGCCTAATATGCCCAACTTCTTCTTTTTATTTCTTTTTTCTCCCAAACACGTATGTTAGGATAGTTAACCTCCATCCAATGCTTTGCCCTCTCCAACTGCCCCTGATTATCAAAATATAAACACAAGGTTTCATCTAACCAGTTACACCAACAGAATAAGTTCAAAGCTGTAAAACACTCCATCACCTCTTTGTCCCTCCAATCCTGAATCATATCACCATCAGTGATTTCAAGAACTTGTTTTTTCCCAGTAGGTTCAGGTCCGTAGCCACATGAGAAATACTTATAACAATTATCCAAAGGTTTGAAAAGCACTTTTGATTTAAGATCATTAGAAATTCCTAAAGGCAAGTTATTTTGAGTATGCACTTGGACAACTATGTGACTTCAAACACAACAATATTTCCATACCAGAACTCCAGAACCATATCTCGACTGCCCACCCTTTATTCAAACCTCGATTTATTACTGGAACATAGTCGCCATCACCAGCAATTAGCACTAATATACCAGGATTATAATTTTGAATGGTATCCATTATGGAGGCACCAATTTCCATATCAACCTTCTTCTCACGGTTTTCAGCATTCTGATTATACACTGTTACCTCATATCCTTGTTTTTGAATGTGTTTCCATAGCGAGTCATTCGGGGGCGGACGAGAACCAACGAGAACAGGTGCACCACCAAGGCCACATCCATCTTGAACTAATGCAAGAAGTTGTCCGTATTCAATATGAAGCTGATTAATATGGTACAAATTTTTTTCAGTGTCAAAAATATACTCAAGTTGGCCAATATTAAATTTTCCCTCAATAAAGATGTTGGAATTGTCAACAAACACATGTACAAGCCCGGTAGATCTAGCTACATGAACCCTTTAGTAAAATTTATATATCTGTGAAGATCTGCACCCAGAATTTAAAATACACTTACGTTTTTTAAGTTCATTGATAAATTCTGCAATTCTTATGGCTGGTCCTCCTGGAAGATTAAATGCTAGAAGATCTTTTTTAGTCAGAAGGAAAAAGTCTCGACCAGAAACCTTTTGTTTTTCAAATATTCTAAGTTCCTCCTCATCGAGATCTAGCTCTTTATGTCTTCGTAAAAATTCCATAAGTTCACTCCTCGTCATCTTTTTAATTTCGTCAGGTGGTGAGAGAACATCTTTTTCTGTTATTGTAGTGGGAGTGGCCATGGCGTTTCTTTTACAGGTAAATTGGTAGTTAATATTAATATTAATCTAATCGGGAAAATCTGTCATGTGACAAAATCATACATTAATGGGGCTGTGCAAACAAATTTCTTTACATCAACTATTATTTCATGCCTGCGTTTAAGAAAGATCCTGTAGAATATATTTACGGATTTCCCTCTGATTTTTGTGAAGAAAATGGTCAAAGAATACATAGGAGGTAAGTACTATATTGTATATGTGTTGCAGAAGATCAAGGTTATGGATTAAAATGAAAGACTTGAATCTATGGAATTGACATGCTCAGATCTCACGCAACAAAAAATTGTGCGAGTTCCAAAATTTAGCTACAGAGTAGCCTCACTCCATGAGTGGCAATGCTATTATATCTAAAGAGGATGGGGTATATTGATGAGACTATATCAAAGAAGTTAGAATGCTCCTCAAAGATACAGATGTCAGTATGGATCTGGATAATTATGATTAATCAAGCAAAAAATATAGATATGTGAACTTATTATTATTATTTATGAATAGCAGGTGTTCTGGGCCAGAACGATATCATATGACATACACAGTGGATCTATGTGTTGATTATATACAATATATTTATTAAAAAATTATACAGTAAAGCGAAGGTGAGTGTCAAATATTTTATTCATGGGATGGGAAGTTTTCCACGATATACAGTAGGGATCAAAAGTTTTTGGAAATTTTTCACGTGATGTTGATCTTGTACTATAACTTGTACAATTTACAAATTTAAATTAAAACGCGTACAATAAACCCTTGTGCTCCCTAGAAAAAAATTCTTTTCCCACTGAAACGTTTTTATAATATTTTTATTCAAATATGCCTCAAAAAACTAGTGTCATGACAAAAAGTAAGCAACGAGATGTAATTTTACATTTTTGGTGCAAAGGGATACGTAATGCAAACAAAATTCATCATCGTACAAACATTGGACTTTCTACTATCTATTATAATTTAAAAAAGTTGGAGAAAACAGGTGATGTT